AATCATTTGGGGTGTTATGAAACTTTAAGTGCCTGAGTTCTGCTTTGTAGTGATTCAATCCAAGCCAGGTATCAGGAATGAGCATCAGTAGTAAAAAGGACTTAGAAACAAAAATTCTCTGAAGGCATAGGGGGGAAATAACAGAAGACAAGATGGATCAAGAAACTGAGATATCCTCTTGTCCACCTGAAGCCATGTTTATGAATTTCCCATGCAAAGACAAAATACAAGCAAATCACGGCGCTGACTACTGTGGGCGCTCCCACTGCCGTTTACAAAGAACTCTGAGCCATTTTGTCATGTGTGACCGCTAACAAGATCCCTCATGGCTTATTAGACTTTCCATCCAGGGGAAATCTCTGAACAAGGGTGAGACAATAGCATATTGTGCAACTTTCTATAGCTCAAGGGTTTTGAAAACGGCAAGTCCACAGATTTATTTCATGAACATAGAAAAAAGATTTTCCCCAGTGTGTCAGCAGGTTAGTGAAGACATTCTTCAATTCTGCATTCAAGAAATGAGTACAAGCTCACGTTTTGGAATCAGTCAAAATTATGTTCAACTCATTGATTCTCCTATTACTAATTTGAATTTAGGCATTTTATGCAATTCTATAAACTGAAGTTTTTCTTGTCTCTAAAATTGGAGGAATTGTAATATTTTTATAACAAGTAGCTGTGAGATTCAAATGAGATTATATATGTGAATGATGTTTGTAAAGCTAGTTGTATGTAATTATTATCATGTTTAGTACCTAGAATTTCCTCTTGGACTTCTTCCAGAAATGAACAAAATCTCAGCAACTGATGCTGGTGTAATCATTTATCTTTTTTTAGAGGTAAATCCACCAAACAAGAATATGAACTCTATAAAGAAGGGAAATATAAAATTATCTCTTCACATTTTTATACTGTTTGGATGTGCAGTATTTTCTCTATTTTGTAAGTTGCCAAGAACAAGTATAGACCTTTCTGAAGGTGTTTCATATAGGCTTCATAGATAAAAATGTGTATTTCCTATTCCTCAAGAATTTAGAGCTATTTTATAATTGTTTACCTTCAAAATATTAGAAACATGGAAGATTGTGAATTTGACTATGGAAAATCAAACCAAATTATGCTTTCTAAAACAAATATGATTTGGATTCTTGAATGTTCTCTTTTATCACTTCATCTTTCACAATTTCCCTTTTCTAACATTTTAGAAGAAAAGCATACCTATTTTCAATATACTATATTCCCTGAAAGGGCAAAACCTTCAAGGGTGCCAAACATACAGGGAACTCAAAATTATTAGCACCAATTTCATCAAATGGATGACTATGATGACTTCTTACTGGCTGGATGATTTACAAATAAATTCATAATAGGGCTGGGGAGATAGCTCAACAGTCTAAGTGCCCACCTGGCAAGTGCAAGGACCTGGTTTTGATACCCACTACTGCATGCCATGCTGGCCCCAGAACACAGAGAACGCCACACTGGCCCCTGAGACCGGGCATAGTGGTGCACACATGTAATCCAGAGCTGGGAAGCCTGAGACAGGAGGCCCACTACAAGTCTGTGCTGCACAGCGATACCCAGTACTAAATAAATAAATATAAAATATTTTTTGAATAAAAAATAAATTCATAATATATAGTATTGCTTTCATCAAAGAATTCTGGATTGAGCCCTCAGTGAGTTATTAAATAATAACTCAGGATAGATAATTTTTATCCTGGATTTATAATTTTTTGAAATATTTTACTGAAGAAGAGTTGAAATAATCTAGTAAAATTATTTTTACTATATTTACTATATCTACTATATACACTGTATTTAGTACAGAGTCTATAGGGTCTCACTACACAGATCAGACTTGTAGTGATTCTTCCTGTTTTTCAGCCTTCTAAGTGATGAGATTACAGGCGGCATATGCCACCACACCCAGTCTCAATCACCTTCTCGATACACCCTGGGGTGAGGCTGGCACCTCAGGCTGGGGATCCAACGCCTGGCCCCGAGTGAAATTCTTATCAAAATCATCTTATT